TATTCGGCCGAGCTACGTCCCAATATTGGCAATTATAATTTGCCATCATAGATACAAAATGATAGACATTAATGTGCCATTCTTGGGCCAAGCTACATCCCAATTCTGGCAATTATATTTTGCCATCAAAGATACAAAATGTTTGCCATTAAAGTGCCAACAATGAGCCATTAATGGACCGATCTTCGTCACATCACTGGCAATTGAATTTTGCCATTAAAGATTGATCAACTTTGCCGTGAATGTGCCGTTATTGGGACAAGCAACGCCCCAATTCTGGCAATTATAATTTGCCATGAAAGATACAAATTTTTTGCCATTAAAGTGCCAATAATGAGCCGATCTTCGTCACAACACTGGCAGTTGTCTTTTACCATTAAAGATTGATCAACTTTGTCGTGAATGTGTCATTATTGGGCCAAGCAACGCCCCAATTCTGGCAATTATAATTTGCCATGAAAGATACAAAATTTTTGCCATTAAAGTGCCATTAATGTGCCTTTAATGGGCCAATCTTTGTCACATCATTGGCGATTGAATTTAAAAAAATTTTAATATCATAATTCATGGTATATTTTTAATATTTAATTATTATCTGAAAATTTGACTAGAATCCATTTTAAAATCAATTTTTACTACAAAATTCTACGAGAATTTAATTATTTAAATGCAAAAATAAATAATTTATTGAATAACTAAATGTTTCTTAAAATTGAATTATGAGAATTAAATTTTAAAAAACATTCATTTATTCAATAAATTTTCTTAAGGAAATAATTTGCATCATTTCTATTTCTTAATTACAATTGCTTTAAGAAAAATTCAAAGATTTTTAAAAAATGAAGGAAAAAAATGTTTATAAATTCTATTTGTCAATTGCAAATATTAATTGAAAGTGAAATTGAAAATTTCTTAATTTTTAGATAATAAAGGAAAAATTTTACTCAAAAAAAGGTTTCTGTAACATTTATTTACGAATTTCTTTAATTGTAAAATTATATGAAAACATTAATAACTTCTTTTTTAAATTAATACTTAATTAAACTTTTTCAAAAAAATTAATTCTTTAAAATTGACAGTTAAAAATATAGAAAATTCAAAGTTTCAAATATTTTAATTTGAATCCTTTTCAAGCTTATTCAATTATTTAAATACAAAATAAATAATTTATTGAATACCTGAATGTTTCTTAAATTTCAATTCTTATAAAAAATTATACCAAATTAAAATGGCATTAATGTGCCTTTAATGGGCCGATCTTCGTCACATCACTGGCAATTGAATTTTCCTATTAAAGATTGATCAACTTTGACAATAACGTGCCGTTATTGGGCCAAGCTACGCCCCAATACTGGCAATTATAATTTGCCATCAAAGATACAAAATGTTTGCCATTAAAGTGCCACTAATGTGCCATTAATGGGCCGATCTTCGTGACATCACTGGCAATTGAATTTTGCCATTAAAGATTGATCAACTTTGCCGTGAATGTGCCGTTATTGGGACAAGCTACGCCCCAATACTGTCAATTATAATTTGCCATGAAAGATACAAATTTTTTGCCATTAAAGTGCCAATAATGAGCCATTACTGGGCCGATGGTCGGCACATCACTGGCAATTGTCTTTTGACATTAAACATTGATAAACTTTGCCATGAATGTGCCGTTATTGGGCCGAGAGCTGGCCCAGTCTTAAAAAATTTGAAATTCTGACCATCGGCACCATCATTGGCCCAGTAATGGGACGTTTTGGTTACCAATAATGGCCCAGTAACTACTGCCAATTCTCGGCAGACATTACTGCACCAATGATGGGCCGTTTTTGCAGTCTTGGCATTTCGCACTTGGGAATTCAATTATTATTTTCTAAAATTTTTAATTATTTGTTATGAAAATAGTTAAATGTTTGCGTACAATTTTGTTAAAATTTTTTTGTAATAATTAAATTGTTTTGGGAATTTTTATTAAAGTAGTAGAAAGTTTAGAAAAAAGAAAAGAAAAAAGAAAAAGTAGTAGAAAAAAGTAGTAAAAAAAAAAAAAAGTAAAAAAAAAAGTAGTAGAAAGTTTTTGAAAATAATTGAATAATATTGTTATTTATAAAGATAATTGGGATTTTGACGAGAATTTTTAAAAAAATTTTAACACAATTAAATTTTATGAGAAGAATTTTATTAATTTTAAAAATAACTGAATTTCTGCAATTATTTGTAATTTCTCCAAAATTCAATTTTTTTTAGTGTTTTCCACAAAAATTTAAATTAAAAATTTTTAAATTCTATTATTTTTAAAGTTGCTAATTTTATTTTAAAAAGTAGGTATAAGAAGTTAGCCGCGCGAATTGTTGCTAGTTACAATTAATTACGATAGATGATCCAGAAGAATTATTCGTGATTCCATTTCTTCCTTAAATTTAATTTATATTTTAGGGACCATCCATAAACCACGTAGCCTGTTTTGGGGGGGGGAGGGGGTTCGGTAATGTGCTACGTTAGACCACATGGGGGGAGGGAGGGTTTTTTAGTCTGAGCAACGTAGCTTTGTATTTTTATTTGACATACATTTTTTTGAAATTACGCGGGCAGCTCGAAAGTCAAGTCGAGAAATATATGTGGACGTCCACATGAAAAGGGCCCATTTTAACACTATTGAAGTTATCTATATGGGCGTATTCCTGGCAAAAGTTGGAAAATTTTGAGTGGTCTTAGAACTTTTTTGGTTAAAAATTCGCTGAGTTACGAATTTAAAAGTTTAGAACGCCAAAAACCTCATTTCGAGAAAAACGGTTACCTTGAAGATAAAAAACCAACAGGTTTTAAATTTTTAAAACCATCCCCCCCTCTTAATTTTGAAAATACGAAAAACTTTTTTTTTCTAAAAAGGACAGTTTTTCTATTAAAGAACCATTTTTTAACAAGATTAATTATTAGGTACAATTTAATTGTGTCATTTGAAGAAAAAGGATAGATATTAAACTTATTTAAAAATTTTTGACAGTTTCTATTATGAAAAAATTAACGTAATATTCAAATTTTCATTTCGACAATTACGAAAAAAAGACTCTAACATCAATATCTCTGGTTCTTCTGGGAAGTTATTCAGATAAGAATTGTTTACAGTCCAGGACACCTTAAAGATGAAAAATCAAGAGGTTTTAAATTTTTTCCACACCTCTATTTTTAAAATACGGATTAATTTTGCAAATGACCGCCAAAATGGGCCCTTTTCAATTTTCTAAATAACCAATGAAATCAAACAGTTAAATTATCGATAAATTAATGAAAACCGCATGATTCGACTTGTCAAAACATGTAGATTGATAATAAAAAATTTTTAAAAATTAAGATTTTGCTCAAAAATTACTAAATTGTGATTATCTCGAAAACTAGAACCGACAATATAGGCCCTTTTCATGTGGGCGTCCACATATATTGATAAAATATATAGGGATGAAAAAATATACATATATATACAAAAATATCGATTAAAATTAAGAATTAGTCTTGTATCAAACTCTTACTTGTCAAAGAAAAAAATAAACTGTGATTTAAAAACATTTAATATTGTTTACTATGTTTCAATACGATTTTATTGATTATTTTTAGAAAAGAGAATTTAATATTCATAAAAAAAGAAAAAAGCTACGTTCCATTAGGTAGGGGGGGGAGGGGGTTCGGTAATATGCTACGTTAAGCTACGTGGGGGAGGGGAGGGGTCGAAAAGTTCAAAAATCGGAGCTACGTGGTTTATGGATGGTCCCATTATGTTATTTTAAAGCTGTTTTCTACAATAATATTATTTTGTTCTTGAATTGATTAAATGAAATGTAAGTACTAAATTTACTTCAAGAAATATATTCACATGTACTTATTTCTTCAAATTTTACATTTTATTTCAAATTTGATCAGTTCAAAAAAATTAAAATTAATTAAAGATCAATTACAATTTTATGTAGATATGTACATTTTTTCTTTTTCTCGATCACTCATAAGTTTTAAGGAATATTGTTACTTAACCTTATAAATAAATAATTAATTTTTTCAATTACCTATGTAATTATTGTAATTGTGAACTTTAGAACTTGTGTAAGTATTTATTAATTAGTAGTATAAATGCATTTGATAATTATTTATTGTTTTAAATTTTAAATTCAATAATATAATTTCTGTGATGTAAAGTGAAAAACTATACAAAAATAGTTATTCAAACTCCAAGAAAGTAATAAATTTTCGATTATGAAATTTTAATATTCTATTTTTGCGACTTTATTATTATTTAGTTGTAATTATTTTCACACTTAATTTCTGTTTTTTTTCAAATGATAATATAGTATTTTTGCTTTATATTTTAAAATTTTATTATTTACATTTTTTAATAGGTTATAAATAACCTGAAATGATCATTAAAAAACAAGGATGGAAAATTAAATTTCTTGAAAGGTCCTTGTGAGGTTCTCGTAGGGTCCTCGCGACATTTCCTTGTAAGACATTTCTGACAAGATCCGAGCGTCACAGAAAATCACGGGGCCCAACTAGTTTTCTACATTTTTCCTTACAAGAATCTTTGCTAGAATTCAATTTTTGATAAGGAAACTTAGGAAAATTTCTACATGGGTTCTTGAATTTAAAACTTTTTTTAATTTCTAAACTTTGAAATAAAATTTCCCTGATGAATGACTGCAAAGAAATTCTCATATTAAAAATCTTTTATCTTGAGTGGTTTTAGTGAAATGCATCTCATAATTCTTAGACGATTTTAGCTATCAATAAGTAAACATGAACTAAATTTTATAGCACATGAATTCTTAAGACAAAATACACATATAAACAACAATTTTTTCCTCATTTCAAAATTTTAAAAATAAAATTTAACAAATTTTTTGATTTAATAAGGACCATAATAATAAAAATGCTAAATATAATTTATTATTAAAAAATAAACACTCAAGAGAAAGAATATCTGTGATGAATTATAAAAAGCAGGCTTATCACATTTTTTTAGTCTAATGATGAGGTCGATTCTTTAACCTGTTATTATCATATTCTTGACTGTATATATAAAGCAAGATGAAAATTCTCTTGACTTGTATTTTTAGTTTAATCTTTCCGTTAATAGTATCATACAAGTAAGTATATTTACCATTATATAAATAAATGTTTTGCAATAACTATAATATTAATTTTATTCATGTGGCACATCCCTTTTACTTTATAGTCTTCTATAAACATCTTTTTTATATTAATGGAAAGTAATTAAAATGTTCTCAATTTTCAAATCTTAAGGGATATTCAAAAATTTATATCAATTTTAAATTACTGTTTTCTCTATCATAGTTTCAAAAATGTACACGAAATAACGAAATAAAACATAAATATTGCTTTATTTTTAATACTTGGAATTCGAAAAAATTGTTTTTTGAATGAACTATTCTTAATGTATTATGAGTAATATATTTAATAGAACATTTTTGAGGTTGGAACTTTTTAAATTCAGTATTTATAGTTCAGTTTATATAGCTGTGCGGAATAGCTGTTCACCTCCAATTTTCAATTCATTTTAATTCCTCGCTTTTTACTGGGAGGGGAGACTAGTAGCGGTTGACACAGTTTTGAGAAAATTATTAATTATAGAGTTCTACTTTAATTTGTTTTTAAATAAAATTACTTTACAGGTATATTATTTGGTTTTATACATTGCTTGTTCCCGAAATATATATTATTTAACAAACCATAAACCACCCAGTAAGAAATAAGGAATTAATAAGAATTCGAAATTTTTAATTCTTTTGAATTCCGTTTGTGACCAATTCTTTTCATTTTCATTTGGAGAAGCCGAAAAGAAGCTAAGTTTATTCTTTTGAATACCGTTTTAATATTTTAAGCGAAAAAAAAATTTGACGGTTCGAAGATTTGAACCCTCAAGCTTCATTGTCGGAGACAAACAGCTTGTCCGCTCAGCTATTTAAACTGTACTATGACTACCGAATTTTAGAAGCACTTATTTTAAAGTGTTGCAAACTTCAAAGGAATTAAAAAATTACAAAATATTAAAACGGAATAGACAGGAATTGAACTTACCGAGTCAGAGTATCACACAGTATTTCGGAATTCACAAAAATTCAAAAATTAAAGAAATATTAAAACGGAATTGATTGGAATTCACTTTAAAGAAATCTTTGCCTCAAAAAGGAATACATAGGAATTGGACAGAAACGGAATTCAAAAAAATTGATAATTTAACAATTTCTGTAAAAAGTTAGAAATGTCCAATTCTTCTCAATTCCTTACTTCTTATTGGGCACTGAAAAAAAAAGTTTTCAATTAATTAAAATTTTTTACATGAGTCAATTAAGAGATAAAGAGAGAATTTAGACTTGAAAGATGTATTATTATTTTACTTTTAAAACAAATTAAAAAGATGAAATTCCCATGCGGAAGAATTGTCGGAATATTGACGGAAATAGGGTAGAAGTCCGAGAGAGATGTGTAGTTTTTTAAAAGATTGTAAAAATGATAAAAAAACGACTTTTATTAAACACTTAACTTTGAAATGAAACTTTAAAAAATAAAAAATTAAACATCTAAGTTTTAAATTTAGATTCAAAGTTATCAGAGTAAAATATATTGAAATACATTCATAGAGTCGAAGCGAAACAATATTTTAATTACTAGAATTTGTTGAGGGTATCTGAAATCAACAGAGACCAGTTCTTTTAATCAGTAAAGCGTGTTTAAATAAATAAAAGCAAATTTTTTAGAATGTCTGTGAAAATTAAACGGGTAGTAGAAGGCACCGGATTAGCAGAAGGACCTCATTGGGATGAACGAAGTCAAACACTGTTTTACGTTGAAATTTACGCAAACAAAATATGCAGATACAATCCAGAAGATTCAGTAGTCACCTGGGCATATACTGGTACCAAATTTTATTAAATTAATTTGCTAGATTACTATTAATATCATTTTGTTAACTGAAGGCTTAATTTTAGTGCTTAAGATTAAACTTATCGCTACTGAACTTTTTTGTGTGCTTAGACTACCAGAGGGTTACAGGCTTAGCCAAGGTGTTTTTTTATCTTGTGGCTAAATTTAATTAACAACAAGCTTACCACAAATACTAAAACTTAATTATTTATTATTTACATTAAGGGGTTATATTCAGTTCGAATTTTCAAAAATTTACACTCATATTTAAAAAAAAATTGGTGAGAAAGATTTCTGGGAAACGGGAGAACCGATCATTATCCAATTTTAACACAAGCTTCTTATTAACATTTTCTAAAAATTAATCGAACGTTTCTTCTGACTGAAATATATTTTTCATTTTATAAAAAATATAAGGCCTAAATTAAGATGTGACGTAGAGATTACTGATGAAACAAATTGATATATTTAAATATACAATCCAAATCATTTGCATGAAATCCCGTCCAAGAGTTAGTAACCTCAGTCGATTCTTCTCTCAATATCCTCATAATGATATTAGAGTGAGTCCCCACAACTAGAAGTTTTCTCAAAAATTCACCTTACAACATAATTCGGTCATCACCCACACTGAGTTCTCCTTATGGTAATTAGAACACTCCATAAAGTATTATTTATCCTATTCTTTATAAGTTCTCTCAAAACCCCTGATCGAAAATCTCACTTTCTACTAAGCAAAAGAAATGGAAATTGATATTAACACACACTCTCTTATCTCCCACATTGAAATTGTCAACAAAATAAAAACTTCTCCGCAGAGTCACCCTCGAACACGTGAGAATCCAAGTATTAAAGATTAGACTCTACTCAAAGACCACATAACCCTTAATTAACACTCTAAGTACAACAAAACTGTCTTTCTCTTCCCACACAGCACCGAAGATTTCCTGAAACCCGACAGGACCTCGTTCAGCGAGGATAAAAACATTGAGTGCCAATGTTTATGAGAGATTTTGTGGATGTTCAAATGTCCACATAAACAGAATATTAAATATCAACCTTCAGCAAAAATTAAACTCCAAATATTGACTTGCGATGTTTAGTCAATATTCAGACAATTTATACGTGAATAATTATCAAACGAAATTCTTATAACTATGCGAAAATCGCATTCAATATTGATACATGTAACGATCCAAATCGTTTTCTTACTTTTCTTTAAATATGCCATTTTCTGATTGTTTCCCCAATTCACAATTCATCGCGCTAGGTGTTAGCCTAATACCTACTGCGACCACCGGTCGTTAAAAGAATTATAAATTCGGGTGTCATCGGACCAAAGACGAATGGCCTTATGGTTACGATGACGATTACGTGAAAATTCTCATCAGAGAGAAGCGTGCCTTCGTACATCGAAGAGATCTGCGAGATCTCTTTTTGTAATCGTGAAATAACGCGTGTATGTGTGTGTAAGCGCTTCGACGCATAGTTGTAACGCGCTTTATAGATAATTAAATATTTACTTTTTAATTCTTTTTGTTTTATTGTGTTTGTTCCCATCACTAGGAATATCATTTATGGGACAACATTTGCGCTGCATCATTTGGTAAGTTTGCTCAATCTTCTCTATCTCATCGATTGGTCTCGTCTTTCAATAATGTTGCAATTGCTCATTTAATTAATACTGTAGATAAAATCAACTTCTGATATGTAAAGATTTCGTTCATTAACCCTTGTGTCGACTGTCGTGAGCCGAACCCTTATCCTCATTCATTTAATTTTCAAAAATATTCAAGTCTCGCAAAGTTTCGCCGCATACAATATTGACTGAACATCGCAAGTCAATATTTAGAGTTTAATTTTTGATGAAGGTTGATATTTAATATTCTGTTTATGTGGACAGTTGAACATCCAAACAATCTCCTGTGAACATTGCCACTTGATGTTTGTAACCTCGCTAAACGAGGTCCTGTCGAGTTTCAGGAAATTTTCAGTGCTGTGTGGGTTGTGAACCACATTCGAGCCAATTTTACTCAAACACTCTTTACTACGTAATGTGTCTAATCAAGAGCTTAACGAATTTATCTCAGTTGAACAAGGTTACAAAGGATAAAAATTCTTTTCATATCCTTGTCACACATTTGCAGTAGAATGGTTAGTGAAACTTGTTACTGAAGCTGCTAAGCAAGTTTGTGGCAGTGAAGCCAGAGACGGGTTCATTCGATGCACTTTGCTTTCCAGACAGAATATTTCTACTTTTGATCACAAGAGTAAGTTTCCCTTCTAACAGAAAGGCCACCCTTAGTGTACAACACATAGTCAAAATGCAAACAAAAAATTTTAAAAACAATAAAATAAAAAATACAAAAAAATTTTGAAAAATAGGAACTTAAAAAGCAGCTACCTCCACGTGGTGAGTTCTGGGACATTTTAATACAATGAAAAGTGGGCGAAAAAAGCTGTGGTCAATTTCGAAAGCAAACGCAAAATGTTTGTACAATGGTGCCTACTATCAAACACAAATTCGTAAAGTAACTGTTCAGCCCGATTATGTTCAACGATAAAAATTTCTGATTGCAAAAATATATGAATAGCTGAAACAAGCTTCAGCTACTGCTCTAGTAATTGTTCATTAAGAAATTTGAACATAAGTGATGCACTATAATAGCCCATTTTCGCGAGCTTTCAAATCAGCTCTGTCTGATAATGACCTTGTTAGTCTTCTTGTTTGATTCGGAGCTTTGATATTATTAAAAATCTTATTAATGTCATCTATTTCCGATTTAGTAAGAAGACCTGCTGTACAGTAGTGTTCAATGAAGCCTTCCTCAGATGATTGTGTTGCACTCATATACTCCCATGAGTGCAACACGATCATCCGAGGAAGGCTTCATTGAACACTACTGTACTATCTTTAAGGTCATGTTATTCAGTGGTCACGTGTCCCATTTACTTTACTATGGAAAAACTTCACACTGAATAACATGACCTTTAACACCAAACAAAATGGTTGCATATTGCTTTGCCACACTATTTACTAAATGCATCCTGTCAGAACCAAAAGTTTTTAACATTCATCCATGAATATTTAGTATAACCTAAGATTGCTTTTTCATGAATTGTCAATTATCATCAATCTAGCTATTGCTTACTTTAATTTAATAAGGTAGTATAAATATTAAATTTAAATAAAGAAATAATACACATTCTACCAATTTTAGCACATGGTCCAGTGGGATCCATAGTGCCAGTTAAGGATAAACCAAATACATTTGTAGCTGGTTGTAGTAAGGATATTGTTCTGGTCACATGGGATGGTGAAAATAATTGTACAGATCTTCCAGTTAAACGATTGACGACTGCATTAAAACACAGTCAAGGCACACGATTTAATGATGGGAAAGCTGATCCAATGGGTAGATTTTGGACTGGTAAAGATTTATGTGTTTGATTTTTACTTACTTTTCAAAAATAGTAAAGATCATTTAAGAGTTTACAACTGTTTAGAATAATTTGAATACAATTAAATTTTCAAAAAGAATTTGACATTAATTAATTTACAAATTTTTAACATGGGAGAATTAATATATAAATATTTAATCTCCCTCTGATACTCAAAGTACAATTTAAAATAACATAAAAAAGTTGATTTACTAAATTTAACAATAATTAATCCGATTGTGTTTTCAATTCTAGGCACGTACACTGAAAGAGGACAAGAATTATATTTACCTAATCAAGGAGAACTGTACAGTCTAGACTCTAATAAAGTGTTGACAACCAGAGTTACGTCAGTTTCTATCAGTAATGGTCTTGCTTGGAGTTTAAATAATAAACTTTTATATTACATTGATTCTCCGACGCGAAAGGTTGCAGAGTATGACTACGATTTACTGACGGGATCTATTGGTAAATATACAAAGAATGATAAATAGTAAGACGAAGATAAATTAAGAAAAGTCTTATAAATGTTTTCTTTCAGCTAACAAAAGAATAGCTTTCGATCTAGAAGAAAATAATCTTCCTGGAATTCCTGATGGAATGACGGTAGATTCTAAAGGCAATTTGTGGGTAGCGCTATTTGAAGGAGCTCAAGTAAGAAAATATATGTAATGTGTAAAGTGCCTGTAACATTGAAACAAAAGGCAATTTTTAAATGTATGCAATATTAAATGTTTTAGGTAATTCAAATTGATCCAAGGACTAAAAAGTTACTTAGATCTATTCCAATGCCAGCAAAGAGAGTAACTAGTGTTGTTTTTGGTGGCCCCTTATTAGATACTCTATATGTTACTACTGCCGGATACGGTTTTTCGATTCAGAACGAGCAAACTCCTGCAGATGATTTGCAAGGTGGATCAATTTATGAAGTTAAAGGTACTGGTGCTCGAGGAGTTCCAGCTAATCATTATAAGATTAACTTATAATTCAATTAACAAATTTTAATAATTATGATAACTTGATGTTAAATAATAAACTTTCTTAAAATAACATCGTTACACTTAATAGTTGTTAATTCTTTTGCATTGGTTATGAAAGCTTTTTCGCCCAACTCACGTCACGGAACAATTATTAACGAAATTAAATGTCTCTTCTTTCCATTCTGTTGTCAGGCATATAATGTGTCATTTTTCAATTCGTGACTAAAAAAGGGAAAAAGTTATCAAAATAAACCCGATGACAGTTGCCATCAAAAACTTTATTTAATTTATTTTAAACGAGAGGATACACTACAGAGTAAGTCTATGGTTATTATTTCGGATAATCTGAACCACGATTCCATATAAGTCTACCAGTGTCAACAAGAAATTATTTAATTTTTAAAACAAAATTTTGTGGTAAATAAAGTAATTTACTTTTCTGATAGAGCTCCTCTACAATTTAAAAACAAGAACAGTTTTTTGAATTTAAAATTCCACGAAGTCGATTTCGGTCTACCAGCCGAGTGGCACTTTCATGTAACTGGACATGGGAAAGGCGCTTGCGACGGTTTAGGTGGAAACCTAAAGCGACAAGCTTTTCACTTACAAGCCCACTTTTCACGTGGGCTAAAAATCATTTTTCTAAAATTGAAATTAGATTTGCTTCTATGAAAAATTATTTAATTCTAAAAGAGAAGCTTCAAAAGAGATTTAAGTATGCTCTTACAATACCGGGAACGCAACAGTATCATTCGTTTATACCCATTTCTCAACAGCAACTTTGTTTGAGAAAGTCTTGTCATCTCCCATATCAACAGTCTTTCCCACACTCCAGCGATCATGAAAACGTCAAAAAACATAATTACTTTCGATATTGTTTAAAAATGTTTAATTAAATTGTTTAAAATGTTTAATTATTTTAATGAGTTACAATACTATTTAAAATAATTATTATTGTAAATTATTCAAATGTGTTTGTTGCGAAAGAAAAGAAAAATAAAAAAGGTGGGATCTTGGATTGCGAATAGAGAAGGGTCGACAATAAGCGGATTCGTCGAGTAGTTTAAAAAGGTATATTTCCTTGTAATCTTTTGGTTTTCATAAACTTAGTTAACAGCGTAAGAACTTACAAAAAAAAGAGTTGAAAATAAAATAGTATCTTGCACGTGGCGAATGGCGTCGTTGAGACTAGAGGTTCCCACGTGACAAAAATGGCGGCAGGTGACGCTCACGTCAGCACAGGTGACTCTCAGCTCCACTCAGCAAGACGAGAGAAAAGTAACTGAGCAGTTTGGCATTGGCACCGACATCTGAAAAAGAAGGGGGCAGGATCTGGGCGGAACCTTTGACACGTCACAAGACCGATCTACCAATCCCAGACATAATGAACAAGAAGTCAAAAAGGCGAAGAATAACGAGAAACAACGAGAGCATCCAGAATTGGACTCTCCCTAACAGAAAAAACCATAACAGTGTTAAATTTATTATATTTGGATAGACTTATATTATATTGTTTATATTGTAAAACTTGTATTGTCATTGTAAAAATAAAACAAAATAAAAAACTTGATTGATTCAACAAAAATTCCGTCAGCATAAAAATTTATTACGTAATAATTTCAAAATATTTGACTTTAAATTATAATAAAATAGAATAATTTTTTAAATCAGTATAATATAGATAACCTGAATAGTAATAATGCTCCGTTAAAAATATTTTTGCAAAAACAAATGCCGCCTAACTCAATAAATGGTTTTCAATTCATACATAATATATATAACCTTCGAAATGTCTGTAGAAATTAATTAATTTCTTAAAATCCACTGAAATGTGCATTATTATCGCTTGATAAATAAAAAGTAGAATATTCAAGCTTTCGTTTGATATAAATTTTATTAAAATTGTGTTTTGAGATATTTCAAAGTTTAACTTTTAAACTCAATTTTCTATTTAAATTAAATATTTAAAATAATATATTTTTTTGTTATCAGAAAGTTCAGAACTTCTACTTTCAAAATCGATATTGTAAAACGTAATTTGGTTCCACTGAATGGAAGAAATATTCATTTAAAAATTGTCTTACTTTGGCAATTGTTTACGAGGGGGGTCGGTTTGAAATGGAATGCCTCATATGCTTCCTGCAAGCACAATGTTAGCATAAAATTATCATTTCTGGAAGTTAGGCACACCCAGAATGAGGGTGATTCTGTGCATGCTACGATTAAAGGACGAAAGATTTATACTTTGGATTAAAAAAATGAAAAAATGTGAAATCATTGAAAGCGTAAAACTAACAGAACCAAGAAAAATAAGAGCCAATCAGTCTCTTTACCAATTTCAAAATTGAAACAAGTGCTAGTTTCAAAAAAAGCTTCAAATCAACTGCAATTTAAAACTACTTTTGATTTAGACTTTGAAACATTAATAACAAGAAAAGAGAAAATCAATCAAAGGCACAGTGTTCTTTTATCAAAACTAAAAAGTCTTGGAATTAATAATAAATTATTAAATATTTTATATTCATATTTACAAAAGAGAACAAATTTTCTGGAATACTGTGGTATACGTTGAGTCATTTCCATAAACATCGGGTGGACCTCAAGGTTCTAATCTTGGGCCTCTTTTATTTATAATTTTTCTAAATGATGTTGGTAATGGCTTGAATTGTCTTTATCAATTATTTGCTGATGACACTAAACTGTATCTACCTGTGTCATCTTTTTTTGGATTGTGAGGAATTGCAGGCTAACCTCAATAAATATATTGAATGGTGTGATAAATGGAATGGAGATTAATGTGAGAAAAAGTATAGTTCTTTCTATTACTAGGAAGCGTGACAGGATCAGTTATCCTTACTCAATTAATAATGAGATATTGTAGAGATCAACAGTGGTCAAAGATCTTGGTGTATATATATTGATGATTGTCTTTCTTTTGTCTATCATATAGATTCATTAATAAAAGATGTTAATAGAATGACTGATTTTTTGTTTAGAATCTGTAAAAATTTTAATAATGTTAAAACGCTACAATCACTTTTTCATGCTTTTGCTCTTTCAAAATTAAAGTTTGGGGATATAATTTGGTGCCCTTATCAACGTAAATAGACTGTCAGAACAGATTAATAATCACATATTAGATTATTTTAATAACTTTATTGAACAGCCTGCAATATCTTTCTCATTCAAACAGTTGACAGAAAGATTAAAATTTTTGGAGAATCACCCATGTAGAATATATTTTTGCTAAAATTTTTGAGTTTCCTAAAATTCTTGATACGACACATAGTTATTTGCGTGAACTTGAAAATGATAAACTGACAACTAACATTATTCATGGAAAATATTGGAAGTCACAAAAGAAATCATTTGAAAATCGTTTAGATTTACCTCTGATACTTCATCAAGATGATTACGAAACCATGCTTACTACCACAATTAATATCCAAAACTGAAAATATTTTTTTTCTAACATTGCTTAAATCTTCCGATCATAAATTGGTTCCTTTGATAAAAATTTTCCAAAAAGCTGTTGCTATTAGAACGAGGAGAAATTTCTGTTCGTACATGCTCCTCCTAAATTTCACAGTCATCATTGTGAATATCCTAAAGCTCCTTGGGAACGAATTCACATCGATCATACAGGTCCAATCTGTGGATCTATGCTGTTGATTGTAGTCGACGCATTAAGTGACTGGAGGTTATAGTCACCAATTGTACCACATCTTCAGCAACTATTGTAATTCTCGTTAAACTGTTTGCAACATATGGAGTTCCTATCACAGTAGTTTCCGACAACGGACCTCAGTTTACATCAGATGAATTTAAAATCTACATAGAGTCAGTTTGAGTGAAATATCATAAATTGCAGCTCCATATCATTCATCTTCAAATGGACAAGCAGAACGCTACGTAGAAACGGTTAAAGATGCTTTACAGTCTTTGTCTTCTACACCAGCAACGCTTAAATCGAATCTCAACACATTTTTGCAACATTATCGCGAAGCTCCTCACTCGACTACGAATCAATCTACTGCTCAATTATTCCTGGGTCGAAACATCAGGACTAAGCTAGATCTCGTCAGACCGGATGTTGTCAGCGCCAAAATTGTTGAAAAACAGCAAGCTTTATTCAATTTATCGTTCAGAGAATTCAACCCATCTCAACCAGTCAATTTCTCATCTGGACATCCAAAAATGGAAAAATGGTTATACGGTACAATCATCATCAGACTAGAAGATAACAAGAATTCTCAACGCCATCAATCAGTATTGATGGCGTTGAGGTATCTTCTCAATACATCATGTACATCAGTCTACAGTTGATTTAAGATCTAGTGATCAACAGAACAGTGGCTTGCAGACACCAGTTCGCAAATCGACGAGAATGCGACATAAACCAGCCCGTTTTCATTTTTAAAGACTTTTTATTTTCTTTTAGGGGAGGAATGTTGTGTATTCAAATTTAAATCAATCTTCGTGCCATCTGTATTGTCGCTTCATCTAGACTGCCTAACCTTATAGGTAATTAATTTCTTTATAAATATAATATTGTAATATAATTAATAATCAGTAAAAATTCTTTTTTAATTATTTAATAAAAAATAATTTGTTTGAATTTATTATTTTAATTAAATAATTAGTTCTCCTATACATCTGATAAATTAAGTAATAAACAATAAATAAAGTCATTAAAATAGTCTTCAAGGAAGAGTACCATAAATTCATGAATACGTATCCGGAGATGAAACATATGGAACCTTTCGGGAGTGGACCAAATGAAGACTATTACCTGACACACCATGCGGTAATAAAAGAATCAAGTAAGACAACGACGTTTCGCGTGATTTTTAATGGTTCTTCAAAGATGGGATTTGTATATTTTACGTTTTAGATGCTACAATATTGATTTATTATTTATTTATTTATACATTCGTCTTTTTTGCCTTAATACTAGCGTTTACAAGTGTCCCCGAGAAAATTTTTCTTACATACTTATTCTAAATTTTTGCGCCTACAGAACGACTTGCAAATTAGGAGTACTCGCATTTGCCTGGGCCACCCGTCTAATGGGTTTTCTCTCCAGTGGAGAGGAAAACTGTAGAAAACCTCTCCTGAGTACAACCGGTTTATCGACAGTCGAGTTCTAATGGTGTGTACCGGACAATAATCGACGGTAAACATCATTATACCTCGACGTCAAACCTCCCGCTCAGATTATCTCACGTCCTTCGGAGCCGTTGAAAACTTATCAATTAAATACGATCACTTATGGCACAACAGCTGTACGATTTCTAGCAACAAGTTGTCTCTAAACAATCGCAGAGAATGAACAAAAGAAATTTCCCAGGATCCTGAAAAAATTAACTAGAACATTAGGAATATGTTGGAAAGCTAAAGAAGATGTTCTGACATTTAAAGTAAATAGTAAAATTATGGATGATCTATTGATCAGCCAAAATAGACAGATAGATCATCTCTATTAAGCAACTGAAAGATCTTGTCCAAAATTGCACAATTGTTTGATCCTCTGGGATTAGTATCATAGGTCGTGGTTGTAACCAAGATCACTTTGCAGGAGCTTTGGAAATAAAGTTTAGACTGGGATGATGAAGTACCTGAGAGACACTTGTTGACAGTAGGAAGTACAAATATTCAAGTGCATGGATTCTCGGACGCAAGCAAGAAGGCTAGGCGTATGGAGCAAGCATCTAATTACGTTCAGTGATAGGTGATCAGGTTAAATCAATATTAGTCTGCGCTAAGTCATGTGTATCTCCAATCAAAACCGTAACATTGCCTAGATTAGAACTGTGTGGAGCGGTCTTGCTTGCGAGACTTTTTAAGATGGTAAAGGATACTTTGAAGATCAAAATGATTCATCACATTTTTGGAATGACACTACCATAATCTTAGCATGGATCCGATCATCTCTACTGCACAATGATGACCAAGGTGAGGATTGGTCTTACGTACCACTGAATTGTGTTCGCAACATGGGCGCGAAAGTGATTACGACTCAGGCGACATTTCTGCTCCCTCGATCCCTTAACCTCACCATCGTCGCAATCACCTATTTTGCGCCTTTAATACGAAAATAACTATTTCCTGCAGGATTTGTCTCAAGCTCACAATAGGAATAATAAATAAAAACACTCTGACTATTTTGTAACTTTGTTTTATTAAAAGCAAGAATTCTTTGTTTGAAATTAACTTTAAGAAGCTTAGGTGGTGCTATAATATAGTTTATCGTACATGTAATTCAATTTAATATCATAAAAATCTAATGATTGACCAGTACTAATTGAAATACTAGTTTTCGTCAATTTATCTATTTGCAGGTGTTATAAAACATACAATTCATACAATTATTAAAGTCACATAATTAAAAAGACTAAAATTTATTTAACATTACCATTTATTAAACAATTTCTATTTACATTCGTTCTCGTTCTCTTTGTAACCGTCGTGAATACGTAGATCCCACAAGTGAGAGAGTGTCCATATATCTGTCCATACACATAGCAAGACATTTCTGAAATAAAAATATTTTATTAATTTTTCTCAATCATATTATATTAAATAGAATGCATATCAATCGTTTTTGTCGAAAATTTATATACATAGAACAAAATAATATTTTTATCTCTCTTATCTCTTTTTTATGCGTCGAGAGAGGGCATAAAAGAACTCATTTTTCTCTGCCGGTAAAAATTGAATTCTTGTTCTCCCTAGAGGAAAAATACTGTGTAAAAAAGCAAGGTCACATCAAAAATGGCTCTATTTTTTTACTCTTGACTAACATTGTATCGAGTTTCGGTAGGGTCAAAGTAATATGAAACGGGTAATACATTCTGAACCATGAGATAGAAGAGGGCAGATATATCACGTAATGACGCGTACCTAACCTTCTCTCACACAATTGCAAATGGCTGCCTACCTGTTTTTTCGTGTTCGTCGTATTGTGTCTGTTTCGCCGGTTTTCTAAACTTTAATTCACTCCCATAATTAAATCCTGTTAAAAAAAATGAATCCTAATGTGCCACTTAAAATTGACGAAATGGCAGAAGAAGCGCGAGGAGTTGTTTTTTGTGAATATTATAGGCTCACCATCTTTTCCAGACGTTTCAGCCGGCCGTCTATGCATTACAGAAGGGAGGGGGGTGTCAATACATGGGAAACAAGCTTTGTTTCAGCCGGCCAGGCAGGCGAAAACCGGCCAAGGTGGCAGCCCCAGAATATTATTATTATTTTTATTAATACTACTAAGAAATCTACTAAGAATTGTCACTTTTGAGAAAAGTTATTTGTGCGAAATATCATTTTTACGAATAACAATTCGTAATTTTTACGAAACGTTATTGTTCTGAAATGTCACTTTTAAGAATCGCTATTTTTACGATTTGACATTTTTGCGAAGAGTCATTTTTGCGAAATATCATTTTTATGAATTTATGCGAAGTGACATTTTTACGAATTGTCATTTTTACGAAATATCACTGTTGCGAATTGTCATTTTTGCGAAAATTGCTATAGTAAACTTGTATGCATATATAGATTTACTATATCAATTTTCGCAAAAATGACAATTCGCAAAAGTGACAATTTGTAAAAAATGGCGATTCGCAAAAATGACATTTCGTAAAAATGACAATTCGAAAAAATGACTTTTCGGAACAATAACTATTTGTAAAAATCACAATTCGTAAAAATGATATTTCGCAAAAGTGCCAATTCATAAAAATGTCGATTCGCAAAAGTGACATTTTGTTAAAATATGTAACAGTTCGAATAAATGCAGTTCGGTAAAATGACAGTTCGGATAAATGACATTTGGGGAATAATCATGCGCCTCGGCTTATTTTAATGGTCATTTTCTGCAGTATGAAAATTATTTATAGGCATTAACGTGTAATTTTTTTCTTAGAAAATGCAGGTCGTCAAAGTTAGACGAAAAAATTCAAGAAATTTAAAATAATTTTTTTCTACTAAAAACTATCCTTGATAATATAGGTATAAAACATTGTATATAGTGTAGATTTTTCAGAAAATTTTAATAAACGGATCATATTTTATACCGCAACTATGTTACTTATAGGTTCTGAGTGTGCTCTTTTCGATCCCGGTCAGATTTTCAAAATATTCAAAATGGCGAATCTAATATGGAAGACATAATTTTTTAAAATTTATGCAATTGACCTTAATTTTGTCACTCGGGGGTTTTCGGAGTCGCTCTGATTACGATTTCGATTCGATATTTTAGAACAAAATTTCACCAGGTGGGAAACGAACCCTGAATTTCAGGATAGAAAATAAGAGTCTTACCAGCAAGACAAACTTACTTATGAGGTTAAAATTTTTCTCTTTTCACCTTTTGCCTATTATTACAAATGCACGCCAAAAAGTGTTTAAAATTTTTAAATATGCATGTAAAAAGTTGGCGTTAATAAATATTAAAAACGATGACAGATTGATTTTTAATATTTAAATCTTTAAACTTTGCCGAAGTTTCAAAAGCCCTGAACCTTTAATTGTTTTTCCAAACTGTGTTTTCGAAAGTCCTGAATCTTTAATTTTTTCCAATTTAATGCGATAATTCTTAAAAACATAGAATCAAATTACGTAAGTTTACACAATTTGGAAAAAATTAAAGGTTCAGGGCTTTTCAAAATTTCGGCAAATTTTAAAGATTTGAACATTAAAAATCGACCTTCTGTTACAGTTTTTAATATTTTTCAACGACAATTTTTTTTCCATGTATATTTTATAGTTTTAAACAACTTCTCGCATGTGTTTGCAATAATATGCAATAGGTGAAAAGAAAAAATTCTAACCTCTTTAAAAATTAAAATTAATTTTTTTTGCCATCTTATATGTTTTGAAGTTAAAAATGTTGCAAGAAAAAAAATATTACCTAGATTAATAATTTAATTTTTAAGGGGGTCAAAATAAAGGTGATAGCTTCCCTTAATACATTACAAGTAAGTTTGGCTTTCTGATAAGACTCTTGATTACTGTACATAAAGTTCAGGGTTCGATTCCAACCTTGTGGATTTTTTACCTAAAATATATAATCATTTTAATTTTATCTGGTTATTACCTTAACATTACGTTAATAACACAGTGTAATATTATCTTAATATTACGATGTAATATTACATCCCTAAATATTTTAAAATTTTCGTAAATTATTATTTTAATAAAAATCATAAATCAATAATCCTAAATAATCTTAAATAATCTTAAAATATTATATTATAATATATATATATATATATATATATATATATATATATATATATATATATACTAGGGGGGCTTCGCCCCCCTGCGCGCTTCGCGCGCCAACCCCCTATCTCTATTTTTATATTTATTTTAATTTAAATTTTTATAAATTTAAAATAATGTTTTCTTACATGGAAAAAACTGCATGGTTGGGACAACCATATATATGTTAGGCTCAAAAGCCGAAAACGGCCAATGGCCGGAAAAAACAGCCAAACCTAGTTTTGGCAAGTGCAGTTTTGCCAAAACTAGGTTTGGACGTTCCACTTCGGCCATTGGCCGTTTTAAATTGACAAAACTAGTTTTGGCAAATCGACATTTGCCAAAACTAGTTTTGGCAATTTAAATTTGTCCAAAACTAGTTTTGTCAATTTAAATTTTGCCAAAACTAGTTTTGTCAATTTGTCATTTGCCAAAACTGGTTTTGTCAATTTGACATTTGGCAAAACTAGGTGAGGCATTTCAAATTGTGAGAAATTGAAAGAAAGAAAGAATAGAAAAAGAAAGACCGCCGTATTAATAGGAAATTTGTTTAGAATTAGCATGTACTTATTGTTGCTATTTTGAAAACTTAGATTATTTTTTCTATGTTTGGGGAGTTTGTTATTAATTTATATAAACAATTATTAAAAAATGTTTGTCATTACTTGTATGTTTTTTATTTTGATACTGTAATCCACGGTAAAGAAAATAAGCCTAACTTGATAAAAAAATATTAATATTAAAAAAAGTTACAAGGGTTTTTCTAAGTTAAACTTTAACTGCTGTTTTCTCGAAAACTTGTTTTCGCACGTAAGGTCCCTTTTCATAGACCAGGTCACATATTGTTTCTGTATTGAATAATTGTGTGTATGAAATAAGAAATCGTCAACAAGGTAAATTAGCCTGTGTAAAGATAAATTAGTCTGTGTAAAAATAAATAAGTGTTAAAAAAGTTTTTTTAATTAACTTTTATGTGCAAAATATCAATGGATTTTTGTTAGAGAAATTTCATCTTATTGTAAATAGTATTAATCAATGACACATTTTTATATAAATATATTCCTATTGTATAACGAAGCGGTCTTTCTCACAATTTGAAATGCCTCACCTAGTTTTGTCAAATGTCAAATTGACAAAACTAATTTTGGCAAAAGTCAAATTGCCAAAACTAGTTTTGTCAATTTAAAACGGCCAATGGCCGAAGTGAAACGTCCAAACCTAGTTTTGGCAAAATTGCACTTGCCAAAACTAGGTTTGGCTGTTTTTTCCGGTCATTGGCCGTTTTCGGCTTTTGAGCCTAACATATATATGGGACATTCCACATCAACACGGACAGAGCTCTAAACAAAAATTGCTTTGATGGATTTAAACGTTCTACACGGAAAAAATAAGTTCAGCAGATTTTACGAAACTAATTTCGCACTAGCGGATATTTAAGATTCCTTGACGAAGTTTTTCAAAAACCCAGAAACTTTCACTACTTTAAGCAGAACAATTTTCGAGAAACTGCAACCAGTGTTGTAATTTATAAAACAAGCTTGAATGTAGAAATGTTTCGTATTTTCTAGTGAACATTTTATCAGAAAATGGTAAAAATGTTTCGTGCAATCTAAAAACGCGTGGTTTGAGTTTCCACTTCGCTGTCTATCGTGAATTCTCGAACACAGAGTTTCGTAAAATTCTATACGGGGTGTACCAAAAGTCGCGTTATAAATAGATATGTTGAAGCTTGTCTCGTCGCGTAGGTATTAACTTGTCTGCTGTATATAGAGATAATATGTGGAAGGAAAAAGAGAACTGCTTTACCTGCCGGTAACATTTGGATAATTGTTTTCTTTTACGTATTTCACATTTCATTGTTCCAAATTCGTAACATTTTTTATGTGCTTTTGTAATCCAAACTTTTAATTATTATTAATTTCTTTTAATTTACAGTCTAATAAATTTTATAGTTTATCATAATATTTACCGATGACAATATATATATATTAATTTCTCAAGTTTTAACTGTTATTACTTCAAATTTTAGACAATTTAATATAAACATTTTTTGAGTTTGAATTTAATTTTGAAAATTTTTTGTCAATTTATTTATAATTTAAAATTAAGAATAAAATTATTTTCTAAAAATTGAAAAATTTTATAGAGATTTTATAACTAATTATTAAAAAAATGTTATTTTAAAAACCATAAAATATTTTGTATAACTTTAAAAAAAATGATTTTTTTAAAAATTAATATTCAGTATATTGACATTTCTCACAAGCG